CCCCTCTATTCATTAAAGGCACTTTTCTCAATTTCTATGAGAGCAATTCAAAATGTTTTGTGTTCTTCTCGATTATATATAAAATATAGATTTGTGTTCCTCTTGATTATATGTAAAAAAAGAGATGGGGAAAACTTTGGCTCATGTTCAACAGTAATGCAGATAAAAACTTTGCACTTGAACTTAAACAAGATTAAAAAGCCAAGCCCCTGCCTGCAATTCAGTGGTATGCCAAAGTATAACACTATGCTATTTGTGGCACATATTTTTCATTTGCATAACACAACATTCTTAAATAAGAATAAAGGACACTTTAATGTGTTTCTTCTTGATGCACTGTCTAAAAACCTGAGATGCTTAAAAGTGATAGCATTAGAGGTTGATGACACATTTTTCACTGGAAAATTCCAGTTCTTCAAATAACTTCACAGATACTTAGAGCTGCAAACTTTTTGTGATTACCTTTTATTGACCTGACTGTCTAGTTGTGACTGCTGTTGGACAAGCTTTTGGGCTTGTGTTCTTATGCTCATCAGATGTTCTTCCTCAGGTCCAATACACAGTTAGAGCACATTGCCTCATCAAGGCTAGGGACTGAACCTGGCATTTCCTACTTCCCAGGTAAATGCTCTGACCGGTGCCCTATTGTGTATTCTGGGGTTTAGTCTTTCTCTCTCTTGTTTTTGTTTGTGGTTTCTAATGCCCTTAATCTCCAAAAGGTTATGGTTTTCTTCCATATTGCAACAAATTTAGAAACCTCAATATTTTTCACCTAATGGAATTTTTGCTTTCTGGCCAGTCCTGCTAATAATTGATATATTAAAGGATTTCTTGGGCACTTTTATAGTAGAATTAAGGTTCAGAAACATTTGCAAGTTATGCCCTTTTTTGACCTAAACAAATGCATGCCAGGAGGAGATGATGACTTGTGGTACTTCAAAGGTCTTCAAGTTTTTAAGAAAAAGCTATAGAAGCCAATAAAGTTTGGGAACCATTTTTTTAGTATTTTAATTGATTAGTTATGTAGAAAAAGATGGGTGTGTTTATTAGATTTCATGAGTAGGTGATGCTTTATTACTATTATTGATATTATTTATTTTTGCTGGCATCTTTCCTCTGCATATTCTGCCAAAATGTTTTACAGTGTTAGATTATAGTATTACAATATTAAAGAATTAAAATAACCAAATGGGAGGGAGAAATAATAGTGTATAGGCAAGGCTTTTCACATGGCAGAGCCTGCAGAGGAGAAAGCTCACTCACTAGCATCCATGATATCTGGTGTAGGAGGGATGAAGAAGTAGCAAAAGGAGCTGAGAGAGAGAGAGAGAGAGAGGATGACAGGGTAAGTGAGGAGTCACTGGAGCTGTTTGGGGATAGAACTAATATGGTTGCACTTTTGTGGGGCATGTGAGAAGGAGAGGAAAGCAACATCGTATAGGCAAGAGATGGAAGGATGTGAGGGTCTGCAGCTGAGGTTCTGTAAAGGCAATGGCATACCTGGGCAATGGTGTAAAGAGGGTTAAAGGCTGTCAGGATGGGCAAACTAAATATTACACTTGCTGAAAATCCTGAATACTTGTTGTATTTGGTTAGCATTGTCCCAACATTCCTGGAAGCATAACTGGCTGACCAGCATCAGAACTGACCTTTAAACAGTCCTCAATCACCACTTCAGAACACTATGTTTGGGGCCAGACTGAAGACTTCAGGGGTGGGTAGGGAGAAAGCAGAAGCCTAGCTAGTAATTTTGGCATCGTGAGCAAAGGAGGGTTCTGAGTACTGTAGAGTGGGTGGGAAGGCAGGTGCCAAGCACCCTTCAACTTTAATTTTGGCTGCTATTCTGGCTGCCCTTCTAAAATGGCAACAGGAATTAGTGCCTCACACACCATGCCCTACTTTACTGGGAGAAAGTTTGAGATCCCCACACCTCTACCAGGTATTTAACCACACATTTAACATTAAAGCTGATGGTTAAGTCCCCCGCAGTGCGACGACAATCTCAGCCAGGATCCTTTGGTGTATCGCCCACATGTAACTGACCCATTTTACAGCCTGCCTGAGCATGTGACTGCCGATTTTAAGTTCTCCCACAGCCTTCTGCTATAGAAGTAGAGCCCAGCTGCTGCTTCTGTCCAACTCTAGAAAATGATTTAGAGAAGTTTACTGTTGCAGCACTCCCCCCTACCCCCCGTTCAGTTCTTCATAGAGGAAAAGCTAAGAGACCAACTTTAAACACAAGGACAAGAAAGACATGAGTCTCTACAGTTATTATTACTTGTATTACTGTAGCACCCAAGAGTCCTAACTGTGGACCAGAGCCCCATTGTGCTAGGTGCTGTACAAACATAGAACAAAAGGCAGACATTCCCTCATCCCTGCAGAGCCTTGCTGGGCCCAAAGGTAGGATGGTGCAGAGGAACCTACCATAATGATAACAGAGTCACAGTTTAAAGGTGAGTCTTAAAAGGAGTGCTGCCAGAATATTTTATCCAGTTAGTGACCGCATCTGGACTCAGGCATGTATTTTGTGACAGCAGCTATTGTTCAGGTGTTTGGGAGACTGCCTGCAACCATTTTTCTGCTCCCTTCACTGTTCCCTGAAGGAGACTAGTAAAAATAGGACTGACTCTCATTTCCCTCTTTAAGGCCAGAAGACCTCTGTGTCAGCATAAAGTCAGCATAAAATTCCATACATATCCAGTTTGGTCCCCTAACTCTTCCAGAACAAAGTAAGGGGTTTTAGTGTAGCTGAGAATCTGACACAGTATTATTATTTTTCATTCAAATATACTCATAGCTAACAATTAGAGTAAGAATAATATTTTCTCATGATTTTCTTCTGGAAGCATCAGAGGTCATATTCTACTCTCAACTGCTGCAGGTTTATATTGGTGTAACTCCTTGAAATCAATTAAGTTAATACAGGTTTATTATGAGTGTCGGATCTGAAAACAGAAATTACCCCCTGAATAACTGTGCAGGGCTCACAGGAAGCTATAAAACCAAGCTGATGACTTAAAATAGGTTGTCTGTGCTTTTAAATATAATGTAATCAATGTTAGATCTCACAGAGCTGCAAGTAATAAGCAAATGCCACTGTTCTACCACTGGAAAAACTGATCTTTTCTTCCCTGTAGCATAAAGCTCCCATTTATAGCTTTGTAGAGTCATAGAGCATTGGGACTTAAACTCCTCATTGAAACAATTGAATCTAATCTCTTGTGAGCCTCAGGTAAGCTGTGATGGGGGAAATTTCTATACTCGAGGGAAGAAAAAGGAAACTTTTCTTTCTTTTTAAAGCAAGTAGGTTGCTTGAAAGACCTGGCATTGTTTGGAAACTGCTGAGAAGTTTGGTATGTTAAAAATGGTCTCTTCAGATGAATTATTTTTGCCTAAGAGGTAGAAAAGCAGAGTGATGATGAGTGAGTCCTGAGGCCTGTTTGCTGCTGTCATACTCTTCCTACAAAGTGCAGCCAAGGGGTAGAAATAGCAACAGGTAGGCAGATATGCCTCCATAATACAGATCAGCAATTGAGTTTGAAATGTGCACTTTCAGCCTGTACACTGCAGCTAGCCAGTACTCTAACCTACACTGGTGATGCATTTTGTCAAGAGACAAGTCGGTTGCTTCTGTTCTTGACTGACTTGATTTTTTTTTTAATTGTTATTATTGTAATACAACATCACAGGCAACAGATTCATTCTAACATCATCAGGGTGCGAGGACTGTAATCACATCCTCTCAGGGAACACAGTGGGAGTTTGAGGGCCCTTGTCCACATTGCGCTTTTCCTGTTTCCACGTGACAGAAATCTCCATTTTGCTAGCTTAGTTGCATCTGAAGATCCACACTGTCACTTTGTTTTATCATGTTAGTAATTTTTTATCGTGGTAAATTAAATCATCTCCGACGTTTTATTTTTAGCGGGTGAATTTGTGCCAAGAGGAACAAGAGTGTGAACTAGCTGCACAACCTGACTTTGGATCTTTAAATGCCAGAAGTGTGCTGGATTCTACATATTTACAGATACCCTATTAGCTACAGAGTTTAAACCTTTTTGCTTGCTGCCAACTAATATTGTTATCAGCTTGTATCCATGCCGCCTGGTGCTGTGGTCCTGTCAGGTCTGACAGTAAACAGGATTGAATCTAGTCAGTTTCCAGATGGGCATGTTCCAGGAAAATGTTGCAGCACATGGTGTTGATAATTTGGTAGGTGTAACTCTTACCTCTGAGTCAGCTCTCTGCTGCTGGATGAAATGGGCCCTAACTTTAGTTTATATTCCTCCTGCTTTACCCTGCCCACGTTGGGGTGTGGCATAAGCACAAAGCTCCTCCAAGGAGTAAGCGGGTACACAAAAATTCAGCATTTGTACAATAGTGTCAAGCCAATAGTCAGACCACCTCTTCATTCTTACATGGCCTAATCTAATTGCCTTCTGCAGGACTGCATAGCATGTAATGAAAGTGGTCTTTGGTCCATACAGGAGCATAAGGAAGGATAGGAACCTCATAGACCTCCCTGTATGCACTATTGAAACTTGGGTCCAGGCATCCAGCTGAAAGCAGAGTCAATGCACCTACCTATCCCAACCCCTGAGCAAGCAAGTAAGGGGAGGGGGGCAGGGGAGGCTGGCTTAAGCCCACCCCAATACACAGGTTAGCCCTGCAGTCAGGGCAGGGAGGATAGCAATTTGCTGGTAGATGGAACAGCAGCAAATGATCACTGTCTCTGGAGCAAGGATGAAACAGGGAGGAGTTGTGCCCTAGACACTTCTCTCTGGTGCATGCTGTTTTCTGGGCATTTATATAGCACCCCTTGCTCAGGGCTGTGCCTAAGGGCTCAATCTAGCCTCAAGGTATTTAAGGGCTAAACTAATAAAATTTTCAAGGATGCTGTGTGCATTATGTAAAACAGTGTCACTGACACAGATTTCTCTCTCTTTCTCTCTGTCTTTCTCCTCCCCCCACCTCTGCCTCTGCTGCCTGGTTCCAAGCAACGCCCCATCAAGCAGTCCTTGAGTGCTTGCATGTGCAGAGAATCCCACTGGAAATGCCTCCTCCTCTCCATCCTTATGTACGGCTGCCTGGGTGCTGTGGCCTGGTGTCAGCTTGCCCGAGTCACCAAGCTCAGCTTTGATAGTTCCTTCAAAGGCAAGTCCATGATCTACCATGACAGCCCATGCTCTGATGGCTATGTCTATATCCCATTAGCCTTCCTAACCATGCTGTATGCGGTCTACCTGGTGGAGTGCTGGCACTGCCATGTCAAAAGCGAGCTCCAGTACAAGGCCGATGTGGACAGTGTTTATGAATGCATCAATCGCATGCAACAAGCCACGCCATGTATCTGGTGGAAAGCCATCAGCTACCACTTTGTGCGACGCACCCGGCAGGTGACCCGGTACCGTAATGGAGACGCTTATACTACCACGCAAGTCTACCATGAGCGGGTCAACACCCACGTAGCTGAAGCCGAGTTTGACTACTCTCATTGTGGATACAAGGACATCTCCAAGGAACTGCTAGGCCTGGAATGCTACACAGCCACCAAGCTGAAGTTCACCAAGTGCTTCAGCTTTGCCAGTCTAGAGTCTGAGAACTCCTACTTGACCCAGAGAGCTCACTTTTTCACAGAGATTGAGGGACTGGATGACTACATGGAGGTCAGGGAAGGTATGCAGCTCAAAAATGTAGATTTCAAAGAGCTCATGATGGCCTATGGGGATCCAGACCATCTCCCATGGTACGTGTCCCACTATACTTTCTGGGTGGCAGCTATCTTGATGATCTCATGGCCACTGAGAGTGCTTATAGAATATCGGACTGCATATGTGCATTACCATGTAGAGAAGCTCCTTGGCCTTGAGTACACAGCACCAAGCACAGCAGAGGAGCCCTTATACAGGTATCGCGTGCCCAGAGACAATACTCAGGACAGTACTGAACTGGAGTGGCATATCTGTACCAACCGGCAGCTGATCCCCAGCTACTCAGAGGCCATGCTAATGGATCTGACAGAGACCCCTGTGTACAACAGCTACTCTGTATGCCGGTACACTGAAATTGCTCATGGCTGTGAGCGGTGCCATCATACCTCCAGCACCTCCTCCATCTTCTCTCGCCATGCTTTCCACAGTTGTAGCGGGAACTCCCGGCTCTCCCTCAACACCAGCCGCTTCTCCTTGTGCCGCATCCATGGCTCCCACAGGACAGGCCTCTGGAGGAGTCGCAGCAGCAGTATAGCAGACCGGGGCTGCCATGATGAACAATGTTGCTCTTACTCCAGCCAGCTGGCCATCAATGAAAACCCACCAACCTACCACGATGCCCGTTTCTTCCCCGTGCTAATTGTGCACAGGCCTGAAGGGCATGACAGAAGACACTTCTACATTCGACGCTCATCCTGCCTGGAGACCTCTCTGTGATAGGACCCTATGGGCTTTAGAGTCTCCCTCCCCTAGGGCTACCTTAGCTCCATGGCTCTAGTTCTGTTTGACAGAGGTGCTACTAACAAAGAAAACATACATATCAAGGCACTGCACAGTAGCTCCACAAGGCAATCCTCTGATTCTAAATTCCTTCCCTGATAGTGCAAGAAAATATGTATGTTGTGGCAAAGTAAATAACCTTGTGTCCAAAGGCTACCTTCCCTCTATTTCCCCACCACTTTGTCTGTATCTCTATTTTCTCCTTTCTTTTCTCTTCTCAGCAAACAACCCTTTCTACTCTTCTCTTCTCATTTCCACTTCTATCTTTCTCTCACATTTCAGGTAAGATACTTTAAACCACTAAAGCAATTACCATTTCAGGATATTAAGGCATTTTGCAAATACTGATGTATTTACCTTCCTCAGTCTCTCATAAGGTAGGAAGCTGAGGAACAGTGCAGTGAAATGACTTTGCCAAAGGACACGCAAAAGTCAATGGCAAAGCCAGAAATAGAACTCAAAGCTACAGACTCCCAGTCTCCTGCTGTAACCTCCAAATGAGGCTAACCTTCCCAAAGCTCTTTCAGTTTCCTTCTCTATTGCTTCCTCCTTCTCTTCTCTCTCCAGACATCTTTCTTTTGTCTTCTCTCAGTTTTGCTTCCCAAGTTGTTTTCATTCCTTCCATCACAGAGTCTTAAGAGTTCTGGGTCTTGCCCTATCAAAGTATCCATCTTGCTTGCAGAGTTACTGGAAGTATGTCTTGGTTAGAAATAATGAGTATGCCACACAAGGGTAACTGACCACTTGTATAAACAAAAATCCTGCTCCTGGGCTGAGCACCCAGAACTTTCACTGAAGGATCGATCATACACCAAAAGAAATTTACCACTAAAGGAAAAAAAAAAACGTCCTTTTCTCATCAGTTTTTATGTCTTGTCTTCTACCCTATGAAATTTTACAAATGTTTCTTATTTTTGCTAACCCCAGTTCTGCACCATCAAAGTCAGCAAATTTAGGAGCACTAGGGTAGACCAGTTGCTGGTTGGCACTACTGTTTTCAACAGCATAGCCCTGATTCCCAGTTATTCCATTCTTATAGTAGCATAGCAGTGATGTGGCTGAGGCAAATGTAGCCATAGTTTACTTTTTGAAGGCCCTGTATTCTGGAGCTGTTTGGAGGTTGATTTACCCCACAGTGTACATGAGTGACCCCAGAGTGACTCTGATTTACATTTTGCTCTGTGTGAGCCCAGGGAACCCTTGCTAGCACTGTATACTAGGCTGCACCTCTACTCTATTTTTGCCATGCCACTCCAAACCACCAACATGTCTACTACACCAGGGACTTGCATTAAGGCTGCCATTGAGCCCTTATATCAGTTCTACCCTGGCCAGAAGGCTTGCTGCAGGTGATAAATGGGTCTCAGCATTATGTATAATATTGGATTGGCTCCCATGTCATCTTTCACTGCTCAGAGCAAGTGTCTTAACCACTATTACATTTAGATCTAGTGACTCCTCAATAACAGGCAGTCCAATGTGGTGAACATCAGTGGTGCTGACCTGGCATTAGGTACAGGAGATGGGACTCTAAGCCTATCAGTGACACTCCTGCTCTCCCCACTTGGCAATCAGAGTATCTGAAATATTTCCTAGCTCCAAGAGCCAAAGCAAAGGCTGTTGATCCTTCTCAGGAACCATTAGGGACCATCTCAGAATGCAAACCTGCACCCAGTAAAGGGCTGTCACATAGCACACAAGCCTTTGAAATTTTGCATTGGGGAAGGTAGATGTCTTGATCATTCCTGGTTTGTAGCGAATATCAGAATACAATACCATATCTTCCAAAAAACAAAGTGTTTTAACCTTTAGGGTAAGTAAGTAAGAAACAATGACCTGTATGGAATTGTCAAACACTGCTTGCTCCCTAATCAGCTTTTTATATATCCACTTGTAATTTGGAACGTGTAAAGTCTGGTTAGTATGTGTAGATTATATAGCTCTATGTATCTATACATATATAGTTATTTCTTATGGCATTGACAGTTGCATCACATGCAATACATTTTCTTTTGGTTTAATTACTCTCCATTTTGTAATACTGCATTTATTTCATTACAAGAGACATATGGATTGCTTTCACTTATGCAACCCAAATGTGACCTACTGTAAATGATGGTAATTGCATTCAGAAAGGTTGTTTTGGTCTGTATGAGTTCATTTATGTATGTAATTTTTGTGTAAGTGCCTATCACCTTGACAGCTAGACATTAAAAGTTAGGAGGCATACATGATGCTTTTAGCTTGTTACCTTGACAAAAGGACTTAATTTTCTGCTCAGATAACTGGAGAAGAAAGGTCTGGGTTTGGAGGAATTTTTAGACATAGACTTATCCCAAAATCCCAAATCTGAGAAACCACAAACTTTGAAAAAAACTCAGACCAAGATCCACACTCAGGCATAGATCCTGAACAAACCCCAAACCTAGATATGACTAACACCCCAGCCTGCCATCACTTAGGTCTTGGCAAAATTTTGGATCTGGGTCGAGTCAGCTCTGACCTTTTACAGCTCTGATTTATCCCTGTGTTTTTGTTTTGTTTTAGATGGAGCACTTGAGATTCTCTAATGTGCTTCCCTTCCTCCCCTACACACACGGCCACAAAATTAAACTATGGGCATATGGAAAATTTAAATTGGAGGAGGCTGCAACTTCAGGAAACACAAGGACTGGAGGAGACATTTCAACATTGTTTCTGATGGAAGTAGATGAAGGATAGAGAAAATAAAACATGGAAAAGATAGGAAAGCATGATAGAGGGCATAGCAATTAAAAGAAAGGCAGGGATTCAAATATGGAAAAAGATAGCTCTCAATGTACAATCACAATTCTACCAGGCAACATATATCATAATTATAATTACTGGGTGTTTACCCTGTGACACAGTCAAAATGGGGTTTAGTCTTATACTGCAGCTTTGTCTCTGAACTACGTCTGTGTACAGCTTTAGCACAGTCACTCTGGGGTTATGGTTAAAAGAACTTTTTGTCCCATCTGCAGTATCAGACTGACTTGTGCTTCAACTGTGTTTATGGAAAGTTGTATTATAAGTGGGTCTTTAGGTACTGTCCCTATTTTATAGTATTTTTATCTGATCTGAACAAGCCTTAACAACCCCATTATTATCATGGGCAGGGCAGATCGTGGGAGGCAGTTACTGCTCAGCCAACATATTTAACCTTTTCAAAGAATATGTTTGTTAGGTCTGTGCTACATCTACGAGAATGTCCACCAACAGGTTTTCAACAACTTTCCTCCCCACGCTATGAACATGCCTTGGGGCATATATTGAAAATCCAAAACCTAAATGAGTGGTATAGCTTCAGAGCTTGTTCATGTTACTTGTCAAAACAGCTGGGAATGATTGCCAGAAAACTAGGAGTAGCTCTCTTATGACCTGGAGCAGAATATGGTGGTTCTAACACACTGCCAGCTCAGAGAGCATCTGATCAGTCATCCTATATCTCCTACACAGCAGAACAGTGTTAGTCCTGTGTCCCTTGAAGTGTCACCTCACTGTCACTCCTGCCACCATTTCAGTTTACTCATGCAAGTTGATAGGAATATCTTCTAACTAAGGGAACAACTGTGCTCTTTGAAATTCAAGTCAGAGACTGGAGAAGACAAGATGTTCAGCTCTACCAACAATTAGCTCTGAGCTCTTTGGGGGAAAAAGTGGGCAGAACTTTTTTTAAAAATAAGCTTCCTTTATCTTTAGAAATATATTGAAAATTTGACCAGCTCTACAGTGGACTGAAAAATGAAGGAGAAAAGTCATGGCAATTTCATCATCAATTTTTTTCTCAGCATTTTGATATCTAAAAGGAAAATTTCAAGTCTGTCCACTGGTAATTAGCCGTCTATATTGTTGAGCTCTTTATGCCTTTGCTAGAATGTGTTTAGAGAATCCAATGAGGCAGGTAAGTTATAAAATACATTAATAAAATAGAGAAAGGACATAAAGATAGAAAGAGATGAGTTATGAGTCATGTTGGGGTGTCCTTTATAAATCTGTGCAATGAACATTGGTACTGGTTGTCTAGGGCCAATAGCACAACGGCATTTCTCCTAATTCATTAATACTTAAGGGAGAGGAACATTTATTTATGATTCTTTGTTCTTAAAAGCATTCCAAAGTCACAGGTTCCTTTGATTTCTTCCTAGTAATATAGCACTCCTCCGTAAGATTTCCCACAGCCCTCTGCAATCCAACTGGCAAGGCATCCAGGATGTCAGTCCAGTTTTCACACGGTTCTTCATTCTTACAATTGCTGATATAATCCAGTTCTCAGAAGATCTGAGGCCAGATCCTCAGCTAGCATAACTCAGCATAGTTCTATGGAATTCAACAGAGCTACACTAATTTATGGCAGAGTCTGGCCCTGGGCACTTAATAAAAAGTTTATATCATATACTCATCTTTGCAGATAAAGCTGTTTCTGCTGGCTTGTTTTTAAGAGATTGTGGTAATTAGAGCTGGTAAAAAAAACAGGAAAATAGTCTGTTGAACTTTTTTCCCCCCTTATCTTTAAAAATGTGTCAAAATTTGGGCCAGCTCTGTAGTTGACTGAACATTGGGGGGTGAGGAGGAATGGGAGGGATGAAAATATCTTTTCTTTTTAAAATAACAATAGTAAAAGGGTAGGTTGCAATCTCAGATCTCCCAGCAGCTCTTTGGAACCTTCTATAAAGGTTTCTTTGCCTTTGTCTAAATCAGTGGGAGCCAACCTTTTTTGGCAGGTTTACCACAAATTAAGCCCTGCACCCTCCTCATGCATCACTCTGATCCCCTTCCGTTGCTCAGTCTGCCGCTCAGTGCCTTGTTCTCTGCCCAATTGGCTGCCCTGCTTTCTGCTCTCTGTCCAGTTCTCCCTGTCTGATCTTCTGCTCTGCTTTTTCCCTCCTGCCCTGTGTTTCCTGCCCAGTCTACAAGTGTGTTGCCTGCTCCCTTCCCCATCTGCCGCATGCCACGCTCACAGCTACCCGTGCGACTTATGGCACGCATGCCACAGGTTGGTCACCTCTGATCTAAGTTAACTGCCAACATCAGGAGACAAGGCAGTGTGTAAGATGGCATACTGAATAAAAGTGTTTGTGGAGAATTACTTTTATCCAAATTAACTGGGGGAATTGCAGCAGTTCCACACTACGGAAAGGGCATGGTAGAATTGGAGTCTCTTCTGTTTCTTCTGGCACTCATTTGAGTTTTGAGGACTGAAATATATGGCTAACTAGAATCTTTGGGCTTGTTTAATGTTTGGGTGATACCTAATAGCATGTGACATACGGGGACTTTTGGTCTTAATTTCTATGAAAGCTCTATCTATCTATCCCTCACAGTTTTCTTGTTATTCTGCTGTGGTCCACTTGGTTTCAATGATCTTAACCTATGGCTCCTATGATACCTGTATGTGAAACACTATCTCATAGTTACATCATGGGACTGATAACCAGAAAATGTGAGTCTGCCCTCAACTCTGCCATTAACTTTCTCTTACCTGGAGTAAGTCAGTCCATCCATTTGTGCCTTGGCTTCCTCATTTCTAAGTTGAAGGTACTGACATTTATTCACAGCACAGGAGCAATGTAACATTTGCATTGCCATAGGGTTGGTGTGACTTTTGTATGCCCTGTAAAGCCCATTGAAATCCTCACATGAAAGACACTGTAGTAAAACAAAGTGTTTACATCCATTATGTTCCACAAGACTGCTAAACCTTGGGAACATAGTTACTTTTTTTTTAAATAAGTGATGCCTCAAATAAACAGATGTATAAATACACAGAATATATTATTATATTGGTACCTTAGACTATAAGGGAGACTGAGCTAGGGTCCAGGGATTACAGTGGAAGTGCTTTAGGGTTTTAGTAAACATATGCACAAGGCAGCCTTGCCCAAGTATCCCATTGTAGTTGCTGCAGATGGATTCTGTCATAGTCAGAAGTACCAAGAGTGCCAAGGTCTTCCTTTAGCTGTTTGGGATACACGATTTGTCAGTGCCTCCTCCCTGCCTCTTCATTTCAGTCTGAAGAAACAGAGGAGGGAGAAACAGATTTTTCATTTCAGTCTTGGAGTCTTCTTGGCATTGTTTCAGCACCTCAGGATTTCCTAACAGAAATTAAAATCGATGTGGATAAGTCTGAATCCACAGCCCAGAGGCCAAGGGTTGGAAGATAATGGGGTAATTCTGTAAGGCAGCCTGGCCTTAGCTCTCTCATCTGTTGAAGGGGGATAACAATACTCCCCACCCGCATCCGGGGTTTCATTCATTAAATTTGCAGCATACAGCAGGAGCTCTAGATGGAAGGTATTGTATTAATGCCATGCCTTATATTAACTCAGTAGTATTATGGATCTGAAAATTGTACTGTGCTGTAATGATATGTTGCCCCTTCTGGTGCCTTACAGCTCTGGTTCTCAAGGTGATTACTATGAAAAGCCAATGTCAGGGAGTTTTTGATAATCAGCACAAGGTCCTTTCACCATCGCAGTAATAGCTCTAGGGAAACTTGGAGCTAAACTCTTTTATTTTCAAAGTTTATATTGTTCCCTAGACTTCCACATTACAGGGGCCCACATCAAGCAAATCTGAATTGGAGGACACAGAAAAATGTCCCAACCTTGTCAAAGCTCCTCTGCAAATAAATGCAGAGATTGGATGCCAAATACTGGCAGGAGGTTGGTCATTAATCCCATCACAAGCCACATGGGGAATGCCTCCACTGCAGAAAGCCTAACCAACCAGTATTACTAGAAGGAGAGGAGAGGGTTGAAAGTATTGAGATGAGGGCACACAAGTCCAGGAAGCAGTGCAGAGGCACCGATCTGCTGCATAGATGACTCAGGACTGCAGATCTTGGAAGATCTTCGCATTTAGGGGCTATAAGTTCAGTGCAAATCAGAGCTGTCACAAGGAATCCAGGTGGGAACCTTCAGCCCAATAACATTTGTCTCCTAAATCCATGTTTAGGCTCTGAAGTAACTAATGGATCTACTTTTTAAGTGCCTCCTGTCAGGGACAATCTTACCTGCCTGGTGCAGGTAGCTGGACCCTCCTCACCTGGTTTCTCTATGCCTCTGTTGTAAGTACCCAGCAGCTCCAGTGGGACTCATGAATTCTTTGTTTCTGTGAAAATGAAAGCAATGATGTGGGAGCTTGAATATGGCCCTAGGACCCTGCTGGTCACTTGCAGCAGGACAAACTCTGGGACTGCTGGGGCATCCCCTAGGGGCCACCAGAATCCCACCCATACTCCCAGCCTTCTATATAACCTCCCCTTTTTATCTCACCTTCCACACCTTGATATTTTTTTGATAGATTGAGATGCAGCCCCTGAGTGCCAGAGTGCTGTCCCTGGTATTTAACAGACCTCTTGTGGTCTCTGGGCCCTCTGCCCACTAACCAAAATTATCAGCCCCAATTAAACCTTACGGCTTTTAATTGTGGCCTCCAGCCATTCTGTCCTCACTTACCTTTCTGTATGGGCTTTGGTCCAGTTAACCTTAGCCTACAGGTTACTCTGGTTCTAGACTTGTAGCCTGGCCTCACTTGCTCTGACCCAGCCTTTCAGTCTTAGCTTCTCATCAGCCACAGCCTGCCTTTCTCTGGGCTTGGGCTCTTGGCCTCAGGCTGCTTGTAGGGCTACACTTGACCCCCTGCCTCAGGGACCCAGGCTTATACCCCCTGGGCTCTTCCCCTTCCAGTCGGTATGCTCCTGACCATGGCCAGCTGCCTCCTGTCAGCCTCCTGCTGCCTAACCCAGGGCCCTGCCCCACTGCCAGGCTGCTGGCTCTGCACTAGACACTTGGGGGTGCATCTACACCTGCACTTTAATGTGCATTAGCCTATTTGAACGCGCATTAAAGCATCACAACAACGTGCTCCTTAGCTAATAGATTCATAGATTGAAATAGGCGTATGATATATTATCACATATGAAAATAGGCGAATGTGCATTTTTCTAGTACCGCACAATTGGAGGCACTAGATTGAAGTGCATTACCTAAAGCACATGGAGTGACGGTACAGACATGCCCTTGCAACTCAGGGATCCCTGGTTGCCGGCTCGGAACCAGCCGGGGGCATCCCTGCCGGGGTTTCTCCCATCGCGCACGAGGAGCCCCTCCCCCTCCGCTCCCACCTGATTGTTTGGTTGGGTTTCCGTCCGCCGCATGCTTCCCCCCTCTTCTCCCCCGCGTAGCGGATGGACTAAGCCTTGGGAAGTGCCCTGTGCCCCTCCGGCCCCCGGGGAGGGTGTGGGGGGGGGGCTCCCCAGAGAGCTGGGGCAGTGCCCCGCCG